ACTTAATTCCTTGACTTACAGTGTCCCCCTCTGTGAAGCAGATATATAGAACAGAGCTTTCAGGATTCCATGAAACACAATGTGTGGGTGCCAGTCACCCAGTGGGGACTCCATTAAAGCAAGTTCCCTCCCCCACTACCAGCCCTCCTCCCTCTTCCACTCCAGTGTGCTGCCTTTCCTAGGCTCCTGCCAGGTGTGGCTCCCACGGGCACCCACCCTTAACTCTCCCCCCTGCCCACCCAGAAGCCTGCAGGCCTCTGTGTGGGTTTGCAAGCAGTTGTGTGGAGCTCTGTGCCAGAGCTCGCCTGGCTAAACGGCCTGATCTCCCCCAGATAACGGACAACCTGACCCAGAAGGAGATTCAGGTGGAGAAGATCCATGTGGACACATCCTCCTTCGCAGAGGAGCTGCCGGGAGAGCAGGACTTTGCCCACGTGGTGGAGATCTACGACTTTGACTCGAAACTCAAGACGGAGGACCTGCTGGCAGCATTTTCCGAGTTCCAGTGAGTACAGGCCAGGCTTCGGGGAGGCAGAGGAGGCGGGGCGCTCCCTCTAGAGAGGAGCTAGGACACGCCTTTGTTGTTGGGCCCCTCTCCCGGTGCCCAACCATCTAGAAAGAAAGACAGAAAGTAGATGCCAGTGCTGTGGGCTCCATACTTCTGGGCCGTTCAGCCTACTGGCCGTGTGGGGGAAGAGGAGAGCAGTTTTTGGTTGTAGGCGGGTTCCAGAGGCCCTAGAGCTGGTCCTACTGGCACATGCAGCACCCTTGGCCTGCCAGCCCCAGTGGGGCCCTCCTCCCCATGCAGGACGCAGGCAGCCCACCCCCCACCTCCTTGTTCCACATCCCAGCTACCCAGTCAGTCTGTCAACAGAATGAGGGCCATCTCCGTGCAGGAACTGAGTCTGGGGAAGAATCGGGTGGAAATGGGAGTTGAAGGGATATACCCAGAGAAAAGACTTCTCCTGTTCCCCCAAATTCCTTAACTCCAACTCCAGTCTTTTTTTTTTTTAATGCTCATTTTCCTTTCTCCAGTCCCCCTTCTTCTTTCCTACGTATGCTTTTAAAAATCCCTTTCCTGCCCTAGCCGATATGGCTCAGTGGATAGAGCATAGGCCCCCAAACTAAAGGGTCCTGGGTTCGATTCCAGTGAAGGGCACGTACCTCGGTTGCAGGCTCCATCCCCAGCCCTGTTCAGAGCGCGTGCGGGAGGCAACCAATCGATGTGATTCTCACATGGGTGTTTCTCTGTCTCTTCCTTTCCCTTCCACTCTCTAAAAGTCAATGGAGCCCTAGTCGGTTTTGCTCAATGGATAGAGCAGGTTTGGCTCAGTGGATAGAGCGTCAGCCTGTGGACCAAAGGGTCCCAGGTTCAATTCCGGTTAAGAGCACAAACCTTGGTTGTAGGCTCCTCCCCGGCCTGGAGGCAACCAATCAATGTGTTTCTCTCACATTGATGTTTCTCTCTGTCTTTCCCTCTTATACTCTCCTTAAAAATCAGTGGAAAAATATCCTCGGGTGAGGATTAACAAAAGGAAATGAAATCAATGGAAAAAATATTCTCAAGTGAGAATTAACAAAAATAAGTAAATGAATAAATAAAAATCCCTTTTTCCACGTGGCCAACCCGGGGCACCTGTGACTTCTTCTTCAGCCAGCGGAGTCTCGGCCCACAGAGGAGTGGGGTGGGAGCTGCTGTGTGGCCTCAGACTCGGGGCTGCTGGCCTGAGCACCGGGAGGAAAGTTGATGGGGAGCAGTAACACACACATGCGGATTTTAGGTCCTGTCCCTTGTCCCTGCCACACAACCCTTTTGTCTCCAGCCTCAGACCCCACGCCCTTGGGGGCTGTGCCAGCTCCAGTAGGAGCTTCCATCCCCCTGGGTGTTGCATCTTTGAGTTCTCTCAGTCCTGGCTTCGCCAGACCCAGGAGTAGGGACCCACCCGACCCACGGGCGGTTTGTCTTGCTGAAGCCAACCACATGGTCAGAGAAGGTCTGTTGCAATGATTGTCTCCTTCCCCGAGGAGATGGAACTTGTCTTGGACTCACAGTGTTTGTGGATTGGAGGTGGGAGGGAACTTCCTGTAGCAGAAAGGGTTTTGCCCGTTTGCTTTCATAATCTCTCTGCCTCCTCTTCCCCGTCTCAGAGAGAAGGAGTTGAAGATTCAGTGGGTGGACGACACTCATGCGCTCGGCGTCTTTCCCTGCCTGTCCTCAGGTAGGCGGCTTCACGTGGGCTCGGCCCTTTCTCTGTCACTGACAAGGGAGGGGCCCTGGTCTCCCTGGTGTAGACCGCCCGGGTCCAGGTTGCAGGCCACTCCCAGCCCTGATGCAGGAGCCCAGGGAGCAGGGTGGGCTCGGCCAGGCAGTCACAGCCTTTCCTATTCACGTTAGTGCCCTCCGTCCAGAGGCTTCTGGTGCAGGTGACACCCTAGGTGCTTCCACGTGTTGAAAGTGCTGTTATTTTAGGTCGAAAGCAGCGCAGGGCGGAGGGTGGAAGCTGGACTCACGGAGGGTGGAAGCTGGACTCACAGGTTTTCCCTCTGAGAGCACCGGGCGGGGCCATGCAGGCATGTGGGGAGCGGGTGGGTGGGCAGCTGGCACAGTGGCCTCCAGGCAGCCCTGTCCCTGGGCTTTGAATGGGCGCATGAAGTGGCTGCATTGGTTTTGGGTGGTATGTGTGCTCCTGGGCCCTGAGGGGGCCTTTCCAGGAAGAGGAGAGGATGCCTCCAGATGTTTTCTTTCCACAGCTGCTGAAGCCCTGACCAGGGAGTTCTCAGGGCTCAAGATCCGGCCCCTCACACAGGGAAGCAAGCAGTCGAAGCTGAAAGCCTTGCAGAGGCCAAGTAAGGGAGCGGCTGTCCCGCGGGGCAGGCCGTGTGCGTCGGTCAGTCCCCCTTGTTCAGCTCTCTGCCTGAGGACCCCTGAGCTCAATGGCCAGTGGGGTGCTCCTCCCACACCTGGGTGCCGGGGACGCCCAGCAGGCGTCTGCCAGCTGCCCTGTTCGGGGCTTGCCCTCCCGCTCACACCTGCTCAGGGAGAAGCTGGGTCTTTTCCGCAAGTCCGTGGGAACCATGTTGAGCAGTGGGGTAAATGAGTCCGCCCTGCGTGTGATCCTGGCTTTGTCACTTATTTAAGTTGACCTTGAGTGAGCCACCTAATGTCTGTGAGTTGGTTTCTTTCTCTGTACAATAAGCAGATCATACAGAGTATGCTGGCGGCGTAGATACAAGAGCCTGGCAGACCCACCGGGCGAGGAGAGGCACACAAAAGGTGCCAAATAAGTGACGGCTCGTCCCTGGCCCTTTCTCCTTCCAGAAAGCATGATGGGGACTTGTAGAGGCCAGCGACACTGGCCCAGAAGAGGCCTGCCGATGCCCTCCACGCTCTATGGATCGTGTGGCCTTTGCCCCGTGTTTCTTGGGGACAGTAAATACCCTGTCTGTCCAAGAGCTCTCTGTGTCCCACCCTGACGTGATTTCCCTCCCACAGGGCCCTACAGAGCAGGGCGGTGTACTGTGGAGGTGGAGAAACAGGCAGGGCACAGAGAGGTGGCAGGATTAGGTCAGGACCCGGCAGCCCGAGGCGGGCTCCTCTCACTGCATCTGGCCAGGCTGTGGGCACACAGGTCCTAGAGGTTGGCTCAGATGGCCTCTGAGGCCGCGTCACTGGGAGGGGAGGTGGCCATGGTCTTGAATTCGAGTCCCCACCCCACGGGGTTTCCTTTCAGAGCTCCTGCGTCTGGCGAAGGAGAGACCACAGACAAGTACAGCCGTGGCCCGGAGGCTGGTGGCCCGGGCCCTGGGGCTTCAACACAACAAGAAAGAGCGGCCTGCTGTTGAGTCTCCTACCTCCCCGAGGCCCTGAGAGGCCCGGCCAGCCTGGATCAACACCCCGTGACAAGCTGGTACCTCAACACCACAAGCCTTTTCATATCAGCCCTGTCCTCCCGTTGGAGCGTCACTGTGGGGCGTGGTGGGCTTCAATTTGGTCTACTTCCAGAAGTTGAGAAAAAATAAACACTTAAAGTTGTCATAATCTGCCCTGGCTGGTGTTGCTCAATGGTTAGATCGTCAGCCTGCATGCCGAAGGGTCATGGGTTTGATTCCCCGTCAAGGGCACCTGCCTGGGTTGCAGGTTCCATCCCTGGCCTGGCCGGGGAGCATGTGGGAGGCAACCAATTGATGTGTGTCTCTTTCCCCCTCCCTCCCTTCCTTCCACTCTCTCCATGGAAAAAATACCCTCAGGGTGAGAATTAACAAAAATTCCGTGATTGCTTCAAAATATGGTCTGCCGTGGGACACTAGAGGGTGCTTTTGCCTCCCATTTTAGACCTGGGGACACTGAAGAAACTGGTCACTTACAAGACTGCCTGGAGGGATTCCGCTGGGCCTGGAGGCATTTTTGCGCAGAACCTGTCCAGCTTGGGGAGGAGGTTGCCCCAGTTGTGTGACACCTGTGTGGTTTCCCCTCATGAGCTGGGTGTCCTAACCAGCTTTGGGGAGTGCAGAGTGGCTGTGGCTATGGCAGTGCTGATGGCCCACCCCGGACCGGCCCCAATGTCTCCTGTCAGTATAGCTACAAAAGGGCTCCGTGCAGAAATAAACACGAACAAGGCCACGTGGTGAAATCTGAAGTGGCCACCGAGTTTGCCTCCCCGACAAGAGCATATGCAAGGACAGGCCCCGGAGCACTCAGTTTTCTGGTTTGGACGGAGCCCGTGTCGAGGCTAGATGTCCCTTCTGGGCCTAACAACTGCTGTGCCCCCGACAAAAACCAGCAAAAAGCAAGAGCTCAGGAGAGGTGGTGACTTGTATTTTTGTGACCTTAGCTCTCAAGGGGCAGGTGTTGCTCCTTTGGGGGTGTATGGAGGGGACCCCTGCAGCCACATCAGACCCCAGCTCTCTGCGGGAGTGGACCCGAGGGTACAAGGCTCCCGGCCGACTAGACGAGCTCTGCTGCTCAGGGGCGGGGCCGCGGTCCAAATGAAACACAGACGCACGTCGTAAATGTTTTATTCCAAGTTTCAAGTATGTGTAAGTGTCCGTGATGACACGGTGTTCGGTGAGTGTCCTCGTCACCCGGGACCCTGGTTATAGCACCGTTAGCAGTTACCCGCCGCCTCGCAACGACAGAAACGGGAGCCACACAGGTGGGCGGGTTTTCCTTTGAGCTATATTTTCAAAGGCCTAGATCGCCAATATTAAATACCACTACTTTGTGTTTCAAAGTCCATGAAAATATAATAATGTCTTGAAAATAGGACGCAGGGGGTGCGGGAGAAGCACCAACTCTGAGCTCACCTCTCAGAAAACAAGTGGCAGCTTATTTTATACGTGGGTAGGACGGAGGGGAGGAGAGGCTGTGTAGCTGGAAGAGAGCTCTACACATTCAAGTTGGCTGGAAACGACCTAAGAGGAGGGGAAGCGAGTCAGCCTGACCCCTCAGGTTTAAGCTGGCATCGCCAAAGTGGCACCTGAGGAGAAATGGCCCCATGTTATCAGTGGTCAGCAGAGCAGGGTGGTTGGTGTCAGGCTTGGGGGGCTGTGGTTTGGATGGGACACGTTGATGACAACCGGGGGTCCCGGACAGGATGGCTGGTGCGCTGCTCCCACGGCCTGCGGACACTCACTCCTGGGGGCCGCCGGGCTCTGCAGCAGCCCCCACAAGTCAGGAGCACCCCTTCCTCCTGAGCGTGGCCGTGGTCGCAGGGTCCGGACGGCGGGCGGGTGGGCGAGGGGAGGGTGGCGTCCATCGGTCAGAGCCTGCAGGCGGGAGCGGTCCGCAGCTGCCTTACCGCGGGGAGAGCTGGTTATTTATGAGTCCACTGAAGTGTTCAAACTTCTTTTCCGTCTCTTCACTGAAGGAACCACCTGCGGGGTGGGCATCGGAGAGACAGTTTAGCACATCAGACGCGCAGCCCTCGCCCTGGATGAAATGGTCAGCCGCTGGCCTGGGAGCCCTGGAGCCACCACCCTCCACCAGGGGGCCTGCCGGGCACCTCTGTGTGCACCACCGGGCAGCACCAGGCGCCGCCAGGTGCTCTGGGAGTGGAGCGAAGGGGTGAATGAACACCGTGGGCTCGGGGTGAATGAACACCGTGGGCTCAGGCTGCCCTCACCACGAGCGAGGACCACCCCTTCCTGCAGAGGAGAAGGCTCGGCCTCCCTCCCGTGCCCCAGGTTGTGTAACGCAAGGAAAGATTTTCTGGCGACCAAGGCCACATTGGTTCACTAGTTTCTAGTTCCGGGCAAGAAAAACGATACACAGAGCCACAGACTGCTGACGCCCGCATGTTTGAGGTCACATGCACGATGAGGTGTGGCCTCAGCTTCCGCCCCCAAATAGCTGTGGGGTCCGTGTTGGCCGCTGGTTCTGTGCCGCCCCCTCGGCCAGGCTGGTGTGAAAGCCCAACCCGCATCCAGGCCACTCGTGTGTCCGCTGCGTGGGAAGGGGAGGCTGGTGGCATCCCGAGCTCTGCCCCCAAATTAGGGAGCTGCTCTGGCTCCTTGAGAAAGCAGGGACGCCCTTGCCTGTCCCATGGGGGGCGGGGGGTGGGAGGCCTGGCAGGCCTGGGG